GCTCAGTCTCCACGCTCCTTCTAGAAGCCGGTGTGGACAGGACAGGGAGAGCTGGCGGTGCAGGGACAGGAGGGTCACATGGAGGCGAGGCTTGTCCTTTACTGGAGAGGAGCCACAGGAGGGCTGCAGGGGCCACGCGAGCACGCCCACCTCCTGTGAAGGCCTCCTGACATTCCCGAGGGAGAACGGAGTAGAAGGGCCTGGAGGCAGGGGCCAGCACCGGGAGGACGGACCGTCCAGGAGAGAGAAGATGGTGTCTCAGCGAGAGGAGGGACAGGGGACAGAGCAGGGGGGAGGCGCTGAGAGATCAAATGGAGGTAGAATCTGATCTCAGGGGTCTGATCTGGCTCTGGAAGGTGACAGAGACGGAGAAGTCTAGTAGAACCCACACGTTTCTTGCTTAAGTCGGTGAACCATGGTGCCATTTCCTTGGGACGGGGGGACAGGGGTGAGGTTCCAGGAGCAGATCTGAGTCCCTTGAGTGCACGCACCCGGCTCCACGGCAGCCGAGCTGGGTGTGCTCTGGGAACGTCTGCAGCAGAAGGACATGCAGACCCAGGGAACCAGCAGACACAGAGGCAGCAACAGAAAACCTGAGCAGAGGCGGGTGGCAGACTGCACAGCAAGTCAGTGGGACAGACCCAGGCCTCCTGACCACCACCCCAGGCCTGCCTCTCCTGTGCCGCCCCCCCCAGTCTCACACACCATGGCTCCCCTGGCTTTCTCAAGTCTGGTTCCAAATAACAAGCACAAGCAACTGCAAGGTGAAGGCTGGGGCTACCTGGCAGCCACAAAGCAGAGAGGATGCTGGGACATTCCCCCGGCCAAGGCCCCTGCGGGTGGCCCAGGGAAGGCCTCCTTCCCTGCACTCACAGTTCCTGTGGCCAGCTCTGGAGAGCTCCCTGGGGACCCAGACTCATGAGGAAACACCCCTGACAGTGACAGCCACAGGACCAGCAGAGTGTCAAAAAGACGGAGCTCCGTGAGGTGTTGAGATTCATCCTTCACACCTGCAGCAGGTGTTCCAGTTGCCAAGGCTCATCCAAAGCCAGTAATAAGTGAGAACCATTAAATGCTCCTGTTACCATCATAATTAGCTAGTTAATATTAATAATAGGGAGAAAGCAAAGGGGAGGCCAGACATGTATAAGCATGATCATCTGGGCAGCTTCACCAGGAAGCTGCAACTTCACACGCCCCGCGGAACAACCAACCGTTCCCTGCAGATCACTGGGGGAAGGGATGGAACAAAGTGGGAAATGGGCACCTGCACAGTGAAGTTGGGGTGACGTAGGGAAGGTGCTTGCCGGTCAGTCTAACCTGGGAATGAAGATTATTGGCTAGAAGGACGGACCCCAATGCAAGCCCAGGAAAATGTGGGAATACGTAATCCCCAGACAAAGAAGTTCCCTCTTGCTTCGCACCTGCTTCCTTGAACTCTCTTGCTCCGGGACCCACACTCGCCAGGGCGCTAGCCTGCCATGGGGCCTCAGCAGCCATGCAGACCCCACACGCAGTGGACTGCAGCTGGGAACACAAGCTAAGCTGGCCCGAGGCTGGACTGGACTGCGCTGTAATGTGAAGCAGAAACTCGGGGCCATGGCTTGAATCCTTGCCCTGCTGAAGACAGAGCTGGACTTTTCCCATGGTGACACGTGGGGGTTGGGGGAGACCTTGGAGGAAAACCTTCTTAATCTTGCATCATCAGTAAAGCTTTCAATGATGCCACATCCTTCCGTGGGGGCCTCAGGAAATTCTTTTCCCCGTGGCACCCCAAGAACTTCACTTCCACCAAGAAGAGGTGGGGACACAGAAGGCACTGCACTGTTAACACTGCATCGGTGAGAGATACAGACTGGCACCCACAGATATCATCTCTATCCCCTCAGCAAATCTGGAAAGTAGCCATAATGGTCATCTTTCCACAACTGAGTAAATGGAGGCTCAGAGACATCAGGTAACTGGTTCAAAGTGGCACAGCCTCAACCCCACGCTCAACACCTTCCAAGCTCAGATGTTACAGGATTTGATGCTATTGGATTCGGTCCAGTCCCCGGATTTTCTGACTTCCGGTCCGGGGCAATTTGTACCACCTCCCCCCTAGATTTTAATGAGGTTTTGAAAACCAAGTGGAAATTACGGTAATATACATGGACATGACTGTAAATGGTAATCACATTATAAACATCAGGCATTGCTGTTATTCTGCTTTTGTTAAGGATCACAGACTTCTATTTTGCCAAGTTTGGATTAAAAATAAACAAATGGCCATCAATTACCACGATCACTTCATAGAAGAGAAAGTATCTGAATGCGCACATTTATAGGCAGGATGTGCCTGGGGCATAAGAAGCTGTCCCCCAGCTGACTGCGCTGACGCTAGGGACACAGGTAACAGCGCTGCTGTTCTTTCCCTGCCGGAAATGGGTTCCCACCGGGAATCCCCGACTGCAGGGACGGACCGCTTCCGCGGGACACTTCCACACTCCTGCTGTTCTTCTTCCCCAAATAAGAATATCCTTAAGCAACATGATTCTGACTACAATCTATAACCATGGTGGGGAAAAAAACAACAGTTTGTCTGTACTTAAACACACATTTTTTTAACGAGCTCTAGAAGACACCAAACATCTGGTCCATTCCATCGTGTCGTGGCAAACGGAGGTTTGGCACTGGGGGGACAGGGCCCACGCTGTCCACTTGGAGGCTGCAGCATAGTTCCCTCATCCTAGAGGCCCCGAAGGAATGATCTGGGCTCTTTCCCTCTCTCACCATCCCTGTATGAATCATGTTTTTTATTTTGTTGTTTGGACGTCTTGGGGGCACCCAGCTGGCCGCGGGGAGCCTGCCCCTCCCAGGGCATGTGAATTCCTGCAGACAGAAAACTTGGCCTTCACCTTTCATGTAAGTCTCACAACAAGCCCCGAGTCCCCTGCCCTAAGTCACCCTGGGGCCCAGCATCAGACAACTAGAGGCTACCCCTGACGGCCAGAGCCTCAGACATCATTGGAACGAGCCAGTCCTGAGCAGTCCCCCGCCCTGCCTTCCTGTCCCTCAGAAAACACAATCGAGGTTCTGGCCCCGGCTTTCCCCACATTCCTTCAGCCTCCTCGCCAAACCCCATGCTCTTCCCGTGGCCCCACGTGGCGTGGAGTGGTGTGGCCTGGCGTGGCCTGGCGTGCTCCCTCCACTTGGGAACTGCAACTAATGAATTCTTTCAATGGCGTGGATCTCTCCCATGTGTCATTCAGTCACCTCTACAAATTAAAACCCCAGGGCACATTTTAACGTTTGCTGAGCTCAGTCCCTTATATTCTATGAGGACAGTGACCCCTCTCTGCACTGCCCTCCCCTCCCCCCACAGTGCACCTGTGGCCTGCACCTTGGGGGTGCCCCTGACAGAGACACCGATGCCTCCCAGCCCCTGGGGGCTTCACTTTGCACATCCACTGGATGTGGCAGCTTCTCACACGTAGGCAGCTTCTCAGGAGGCCTGTGCGCCCCCTCAGAGCGGGAGCCCGGGAGCCCGGCCATGGGAAGCGGGTCCCCCTCCTGAAGCTGAGGGACGGAAGAGCTTGGAGGAAGGACTCAAGGAAGGCTTGTGCCTGCGGAAGGGGTGGGCAGAGTGGGCTGAGCCCCCCCGAGGAAAAGCAGGGCTTGCCATCCCAAAATATGCCTTTGGGGTATTATTTTAAGCTGGTTATTTTTAAGAAAGGAAAGACTCAGAAAGAGCCTGTTTCTTCCCCCTTACCTGCCTAAAGGAATTTAGGTAGAAAAACCTGCCTAAAGGAAGACAGTTGTCGCCTCAGCATAGCATGAACAAAGTATGACAGACAGACACAAGTCCCCCCTGTGTCCCACTGGCTGGTGGCCCGGAAGAATGTGTTTGCCACAGGTTCGCTCAGTCCCATGTCCCAGTGAATTGCCGACCTTCCCTTTGAAGCCCCAGACCCCTGTCTCCCTCTCCTCAGTCCGAAACAGCATGTAAGCTTCAGCCTCCCAATGTGTCCTGGGGCCCCACGTTCTTAGGGAACCCCAGTGAGTGCATAGGTAATGCATTGCGTCATTTTTCTTGTTAATCGGTTTCATGTCCATTTCATTAGCCCAGCTAGAAGAACTTAGAAGGGTAGAAGGGAAATATGTTTCCTCCCCTCTACCCTCAAAGCTGCAACCACAGATCAGAACAGCAGGAGAGAGAAGGAAGTCCTGAGCTTACGTGCTCCTCCCAGAGACACACAGACTCCTCTCCCTGTCCCCAGCCTCATGCGAAACTCAGTACTGCCCAAAACAAAGACATCTGGCTCAGACAGTGCCCGTCGAGTTCACCCCAGACCTCCAGGAACTATGTCCTGAGGTTACTGTCTGCAAATTGGCACCTTTACCAAGTCTTTCCTGGGTGGAGTACTGTGCTTGGTGCCCTGAGAAAACACAGGCGGAAGGAAACCCAGAGGAGTCTGCATGACATGAAGGAGGACAAGGCCCTGCAAGGGCCCCGAGCTCTGCGGGCATGGCCTCCCGGTGATGGGTGCAAGGATCATACCCTAGCATAACCCTGAATGAGGGCCTATGACCTCAGCCACCACGTCACTGTCTGTGGTTCCTAGTAGCTGTGTCACCCGAAGGAGACAGTATCAAAGGCTCAGGAAGCCTTTCTTCCATTCCCATCCTCCTCTCTCTCTACCCACATGCCAACAACACATGGGCTTCCCATGGTCCCATCTGTTCTGCTGGGCTCAGCCTCCCAGCCCTCAGCCCTCAGTCGTCACTCTGGCTCTGACGCCCAGCTGCCCCGTGTGTGGGAACTCGAAACCCAGGGCTCAGCTCAGGGGGCAGAGAGCAGCCCCAGGCCCTCGATCCTGCCTGCAGGCACCGTGGGGAAGACCCTGCCACCCCCTGGGCTCTGGGTGGAACAGAGAGGCCCCAGCCCCATGGAGCTTGAACCCATCCAAGGGGAAGGAAAGACTCCTGGGTGTAGGGGTGGGGGAGCAGGGTTAACTCACTCTGTTTTTCCTGGAGGATGTTGGATGTGCACGGCACACTCCCTTCTCCTGCAGAAAAAGAAAGAAACATGAGCAGACTGTTGGCCAGATATGGGGAGGCCACTTATGGCTGCCTCTGCCCCTCCATTCAATGTCCTCCTCCCTCGAGCTGGGGGTGGGCAGATGTCTCTCCTACCCTGCCTCATGCCCTGCCCCACCCCTGACACACTTAACTCCTGGTTCTTGAAGCAAGACAAAGCATGGCGCCGTGACACCAGTGCCTGGGGAGGTGGGAACTGGTTGTCTTCCTCCCTGCTTGCTCCCCGGGCACCTCTCCCTTCCCACCTTCATAAAGCAGCTGCTTGCCTGGTGTTCCCCGTACGCTCGCCCTCCCCTCCTACGGGCAGGCGGACCGCCACGGGCATGCAGACCACTGCCCAGACGGTCTCTAGTCCAGTCCTCTCTTCTAACTGTTTGATCCTGCTGCCTCCTGCAAATCAGCTCTGGATGCTTCGAGGCAGCACGCACTCACCAGGCCCACGGGGAGGGGCCGGGGCTGTCCTCTTCCCAAGTCCCACCTCAGTGAAGGCGCCACTCTGTCCCCAGCCCGGGTGGTGGCCGCAACCCTTTCCCTCCTTTGGCCCCACATTCGACCCTTCACCGAACGCTGTGGGTCTGCCTCCAACCCCCTCGACCATCCCGCCCCCTTCGAAGGAAACAGACTCCACAGTGGAAGGCACTTCTCTGCTGCTCACGGGTGTGTCCCCGCCCAGAGCGGTGCTTCTCCATATTTGTTGGATGAATAAATGAATGAAACGCGCCTCACCCCTCCCATACACAGAGCACACGACCCAAATACAGAGCTACCCCCATCTCCTTGGGCTCCCAGAGCAGCTTCCTGACGTAGGGGGTCATGGAGGCAGACCAGGCCGCTACAAGTCAGGGGCGGAGGAGTGGGGAGCAGGGGGCTGGAAAGGGGAGTGTGTGCAAGGGGGACTGGTGAGGCGTTTGCTGGCCCTGACTGACTAAGGGTTCCTCAGGCTTAGTCTCTCCTGCTGTAAGGCCTGAGGTGGCACCAACCTGGGCAAGAAGAAGCTTGTGCCGACCAGGTGAGTGTACAGCCAGCATGCAGGAAGCTGGCCTGCCTGCCCGGCCCAGGCCCCTACCCGCCCAGCCCCTGCCTGCCCGGCCCAGGCCCCTACCCGCCCAGCCCCTGCCCGCCCAGTCCAGGCCCCTACCCGCCCAGCCCCTGCCCGCCCAGTCCAGGCCCCTTCCTGCCCAGCCCCTGCCCGCCCAGTCCAGGCCCCTACCCGCCCAGCCCCTGCCCGCCCAGTCCAGGCCCCTACCCGCCCAGCCCCTGCCTGCCCGGCCCAGGCCCCTACCCGCCCAGCCCCTGCCCGCCCGGCCCAGGCCCCTACCCGCCCAGCCCCTGCCCGCCCAGTCCAGGCCCCTACCCGCCCAGCCCCTGCCCGCCCAGTCCAGGCCCCTACCCGCCCAGCCCCTGCCCGCCCAGTCCAGGCCCCTACCCGCCCAGCCCCTGCCCGCCCAGTCCAGGCCCCTACCCGCCCAGCCCCTGCCCGCCCAGTCCAGGCCCCTTCCTGCCCAGCCCCTGCCCGCCCAGTCTCGGCCCCTTCCCGCCCTGCCCCGGCCAGGGTGCCAGCCTCCCTCCAGCCCCAGTGAGGGAGCAGCAGCAGCAGCAAGCAGAGCAAGGAGGCTGAACCCAGCTTCCTGATTAGCAGGCTCCCAGGATGAAGGTGATTCATCAAACATGCAGCTGGCTCAGCCATCACCTAAATGAGACCCCACTTGGCCTGGCGCGTCCCAGGGCCCCAGGGCCCTGCTGCAGATGGAGCTTTCCTCACATGCAGAAGCTGTCGACAGCTACACAGAGGGCTGGGAACTGGGGGGCAGGGCCCTGTCCCCCACCCTAGGCTCAGCCCGCCAACCCTGCCTTCCCAAACTCCCACAGCCCTGGGTGTCTGAGCCTCAGCATCTCCTCCAGTGGTTTCCTGAGTGATTTTATGTGTCTTTCTCCCAATCGCCTTCCTTCCAACAAGCCCAGCTCCTGGAGAGCGAGAGCATGAAAATGTGCAGCTCAGACAGAAGTGCTTTCACCGAACACCTGAACCGGGAGCATCTTCCTGCCTCTATGGGGAGCAGGGTGGCTGCTGGGAGCGCAGTTCAGACAGATGGGCCTTGGGAAGAAGAAACTGGGAAGCCTCCTCCAATACTTCAGAAAGTGCTGGCAGCCCCCACGGAGCAGGGATGGGAGCAGCTGCACCCCACCCAGGCTCTGGCCCCGCCTGGTGGCCCAATCCATGGAGTTGGGCTGACAAGGAAAGACCCAGGCCCCCTCCCTGCTCAGAGTGTTCCCGAACACTGAGCCCCTGCGGAGCGGCAAGGTCAAGGTTCAACCCCCTCTACACTCATTCCTTGGCCACTGGGATGAGCTTGTACACTGGCTTCCAGAAAGATCTTTCTAAAAAATGGCTTGCCACTCCCCTGCTTACACTATTCTGTGGATCCCAGGGGTACTCCTGCATAGAACCCTCAGCCTGACACTCAAGGCCTCATCCCTAGCTCTCCCACCTTACCTCTGCTCCCTGACCTCCCCACCTCATTCACCACCCCCTGCCCCAACACTGGCACCCTAACTTCAGTCAAGGTGAGCTCTCGTGGTTCGAACACCCCTGCCTTTTCACAGCCCCTGCAACCTCTGCACCTGCTATGTGTCCCCTCTGTCCACTGTAGCCTTGTGGGTCTGTCCAGACCCCAGAAAGATTTCCTGAACTCCTCATGTCTCGGCTCAAGCCCACGTTCTCTTTCATCCCTCTGTCCTTTGTTTCCACTTTTGTCAGCGCAATTTGCTTCCTGGACTGTATCTGCCTCACCCCCGAGTCTGGGAGTCGGTCCATTCTGAGTCTATTTTGGAGTCATCGATGTGTCCCCAACACTGACCTGCACGGGGTCTGACACAGAGTGAGGAGCAGGGGCTCTGCACTGGATGCACACGTGAGAGAGAACGCACGAGTGCACCATGAGCTCCTCCCCTCTTCTGGCGCAGAAAGGGGCGAAGCACACACCCGGAGGACACACCGGGAGCAGACCGGTCAGCGCTGGGCGTGGAGCTGGCCTGGGAGAGGCTGCGGTGTCCGCGAGGCTCCCTGAGAAGTGTGTGCGTTGTGAGAGCTGGAGATGAAAGCAGGAGAAAAGCGGGGTGAAGGCAGGAAATGGGGTGATGGGGCAGCTCGAGTGGGCTCGAGGGTCAGCAAGCAGGCCCTGGGACTCTGGCTGGAACACAGGCAGAGCGGAAGAGGGGGAGCGGTAAAGCCCGGAAGTCATAAATGCCAGTCAGATCACTGGGTTTAGCAATGATCGGACAGACTCTTGATAATACCCCTCATGGTAGCTGTTCCAGGGCTGTTTCATTCTCGTAGTGATAGGGAACTTCCTATCCCCAGACAATTATAATTATTAGAAGTAAGAACCATGGTGATGAGCTTCCATGCCAGGCTAGAGATTTACACTTCATTCTGTAGGTAGCAAAGACCCGGTTGCCAAATCCAGAGCAGAATGATATTACTGGTTTATATTTCAAAAGCATCCCAGTGGGGTTGGATCAAGATGGTAAACTGGCAACATGATCCAGCTTTTTTCTCCTGCCCCAAATCCCTAGAAAATGACAGTACATATTTTCCGTGAATTAGTCTTTAGTCTCACTGTAAAATAAAGAGGAATGTCCTTAGGAGACCAAATTGTAAGGCATCCCCCAAAAGGCAGAAGGCAGAGAGATAAGACAGAGGAAGGTGAGACTGGCCACACCATTTGCAGGGTCCATAAACAATGAAAATGTGGGGACCCTTGTTAAAAATCATTAAAAATTCTAAGATATTAGCAGCAGAACATAAATGCAAGTGTGAGACCCTGCGAAGTATGGAGTCTTGTGTGACTGCCAAGGTCAAACGCTCATAAAGCCAACTCAGGAGAGAGGAAACAGTAGCCTCAATCCTACAAAGGAAGGTCTGTGGCCAAAGGTGTGGGCAGCTCGGAAGGAACAGCAGGCTCACAGATGGAAAATACAGGAGCAACTGTCTGGGCTTCCACGGTAGAGGAGCAGGTGCTGTGGTCCTTCCTCCAACACTTGCTTGTGCCAGGCAGAGGCATTTGTCCCAAAGCATGAGAAGAGATGAATGCTTGAGGGACAGAACACTCTGGAAGGCTGGAATACCCAAGAGAAATAACCCAGAAGCACATGGCTCACCTCACCCAGCAGCATTTTGCACCCTCCCCAACCATTAGAAGACAGCAGGGTGCAGTCAACAGACATATCACATCATTCAGAGATAGACTAAGAAGGAACTGCAAATGCAGTGGATTATGCATCCAAATACTGCTAAGTATGAATGGAAAAACAACAGTGTGGAAGGAAGATATCAAACTCAATGACTAAAGGAAGGGAGTATGGGGAATTGGATCTGTGGATTCCTAGAACCAACTTAGCATCACCATAATGAATGGTTGTCAAATTTTAGCAAGCACCAGAATCACCTAAAGGGCTTGCTAAAACACAATTCTGGGCTTTCCCACAAAGTTTCTAATTCAGTAAGTCTAGGATGGGACTCCAAAATTTTACATTTCTGACAAGTTTCTAAGTGATGCTAATGCTGTTGGTCCAGGGAGCACTCTTTGAGAACCACGATCTAGATAAAAGAGTCAGGGGGTGAATGGTAGAAAAAAATAGCTCTCTGGAAAGCTGAAGTGGGAGGAAATGTTCAGAGACACTTAGGCAGTGACTGCTTCCTTCCTCTCAATGAGAATATGGCTTGATGACACTGTTTCAAAAACAAGAAGTCCCCTGACTGTAAATAGTTCCATAAGTGACAGCTCATAGACTGTTAGTATACATTACTCAGGAAGAGATTTGTAAACCCTGAGCATAAAACATCAGTGGCATGGCAAAGACCAAGTGGAGTTTATGCCAGGAATGCAAGGTTCAACATACCAAAATCAATCAATGCAATACATCATATTAATAGATTAAAGGACTGAAACCACATGAACATTTCAAT